TGGCAGCCTCCCCAGGAACAGCCCGTCCTGGGGGCGGGGCGAGCCCTCGGGAGCCGGTGCAGCGGGAGCAGCCCCTGCGCCAGCCCTGGGCCCCCAAGTGTGCGCTGCCTGCCTGCTGCTGGGGTTGGCTGGTTAATCTGTAACTCCCCGCCCCCTGGGCCCTCAGGTCAGACTCCCCGCCCCATTTTATGGAGGAGAAGGTGGAGGCTTGGGGACAGGGCTGGGCAGGGTCCTGGCCAGGGCTGGTGGAAGCGCTTGCTGCTGGCGACGCGGCTTGAGGCCAGAGGGGTGGCCCTTCCGGGGTCCACCGTCCCTGGTCAGGTTCAGACCCCACACAGATGCCCACCCCTGGCTCCGGGGCTTGGGGGGATGTCCGGGGAGGCCCGCCAGGGCCTGACTTCTTCCCGCTCCTGCTTTCCCATCCCTGCCCTCGCAGAGTCTGTGGAGAGGCTGAGCCTCAAGTCTTGGGGGTCTCAGGCTGAGTAAAATGGGCATAAAATCACCTCCCTGTCGGGGGCTTGGAAGGATCAGATGAGGCCACGAGCCCAGCCCTGGTGCAGGGCAGGGCATAAGATGGAGACGGCCAATGTCGCCATTGTTTGTAACATCCCTGCGGCCTCCTCATAGCGGGTGCCACCTGGATACCAGTTGGGGAGGCACCTGGGAGGGCACAGACACAGACACCCCTAGCAGGGACCCCAGGAGTACTGTGGGAGGTCACAGGGTCGGCCTCAGTCCCCGATGCCGGGGCGGCCTGGGGCACCCAGGTGCCCCAGTGGGCTCCAGAAGCAGCTACATGTGGCACGCAGTCCCCTTCCCCCTGCAGCCTGAGCTGGAGCCTGCATTCCCCGCCTTCTGTGATTGATGGGTGACATGTGGCCCATGGCTCAATGGAAAATTCTTCCAGGCCTTAATGTATGTGAAAAGACAGCTCAGGGCCTCAGAACCCAGGGAACTGGCCTGAGGCAGGTTTGACCAAGGGCCAGAGGGGAGAAAGGAGCCCCAGGCCCATCCGCCGGGGTCACCCGCTGGGGAGGGCCATTGGCTCAGCCTTGTCCCTGCCCCAGGTCAGGTGCCCCACGTCCCAGACTCTGTGTTCCCAGGGGCTCTGGCTCAGGGGGGGCACCTGACCCAGGACAGCCATCCCTGTCCCCAGGAAGCCACCCGTGGCACATATTCCCAATGGGGTCTGTGACCGTGCCGGAGAAGCAGCTGTGCAGGCCCCACACCCAGGAGGAGGGGGCTTGGTGGGGGCAGGTGAGGCACCAGAGGGGAGGTCAGCCACTAGGAGGCAGCACGTGGCCAAGGGCAGGGCTTCCTGGACCTACCCCACCTCTGCTGCTCACTGGCCAGCGTGTTCGCCTGAAAGCCTCAGTCTCCTCAGCTGTAAAATGGGCCCACAACGCCAACTGCCTAACCATGGGGGGCACTGTGAGGACCGTCTGGTGGGGAACTGAGCTGCTTTAACTACCCAGTCTTCCCCAAGAGCTAAGCCCCGAGAGGGCTCGGCTGCATCTGCTCTTGCTTCTGGGTGTGTTCCCAGCCTTAGAGCATAGTTAGGCCCCGGGTGTGTTCCTAGCATGGGAGCCTGGTTAGGCCCCAAGTGTGTTCCCAGCATGGGAGCCTGGTTAGGCCCCGGGTGTGTTCCCAGCCTTAGAGCATAGTTAGGCTCCGGGTGTGTTCCTAGCATGGGAGCCCGGTAAGGCCCCGGCTGTGTTCCTGGCGTGGGAGCACAGTGGTTAGGCCTGGGGACTGGGTGGAGGAGTCAGACTATGCAGGTGAATCCTGCCTTGAGCACCTGTGAGCAGGAGCAAGTTTTTAATCTTCCTAATCCTCTGTTTCCTCATCTATAAAATGCCACCTGAAATCTACCCATGGCAGCCATATATGTTAGAGTATGTAATGCTAGCCACTGTAACAAACAATCACACGTTTTTAGTAGATTAAGATGCAATAAGGTTTATTCCTTACTCCCAACACAGGCAGTCTGGGTGTGCACAGGGTGCCGGTGGGGCTGGCTGTCCCTCCACGTGGTCAATGGGGGTCTCACAGCCCTGTCCCATCCTCCATCTGGCCAGCAGAGGGCGGGGAAGGACTGCTCCGCGGTCTGCCTGCGCCCACGGGAAGTTGTGCACAGCACGGCTGACAACCTTCCCCGGCCAAAACCAGTCCTAAGGCCACCTGAATGCAAAGGAGCTGGGACGTGTGGCCTTTCTGGGTGTTCAGAGGGAGCAGAGGCTGGGCGGACACACGGCCTTCCTCTGTGGCTTCACTGGAGGGGACAGGGCTTATGGGAGATAGACGGGGATAAACATGCACGCTGCTCAGCAGGGCCCAAGCAGGAGAGCCCCCACTCTGAGCATGCAGGATTCGGGCACTAGAGCAGCCCAGGAAGCCCATCGCGGCTGAGCACAGCCCACCCTGTGTGGTGGGACCAGCACCCCCTCCCCACTTCTGCTCTCTGCACAACACAGAGCACAAATATCGTTCCCTTTGTTTCCTTCGGATGTATTTTTAATTACAAAATTAGAGCTGGGCTGTTGTACCCAAGACAGACGTTCGCTTGCTCCCGGGCCCCTTGGGACGGAGGATTGGGTCTCCTCTCAGGGTCTGGGCCTTGGCCCCCAGGCCCCAGCTCCAGGGTGCCTTCCTCCAGGTGTGTCCCTGGCTCAGGGTGGGGGCCTCAGCCCTACTCCTGGGACCAGCAGGTCTAATAAGCTACTTGGTACCATCCTGGATTGAATTCAGAGCCACAGACCTCCAGAAGGTCATCTCCCAGGCTCTAATGAGGCCAAGAGAGCGTGAGTCCCCAGGGCAGCAGCTTTGACTCCATAATTACGCTGGTAAAGTGGAAAGATAAAAGTAGGAAGCCCGAGTGGAAACCTGACCAGAAAGGAACTCAGGAGTGTCCCAGCCGCTTCCTCTGGCTGGGCGGCTGACCTAGAAGTCTCATTGCTTCCCTTATAAAACAGGGTGAGAGTCGCTCCACCCACTCGGCCAAACGAGGGGGTGCACAGAAACCACCCTCCGGCTCTTGGCACCGGCCGAGCGCTGCAGCGAGCACCTTGGCTGGTTGGCGGCTAGGACCTGGGCATCCTGCCCTTTCGGGAGATCCCGGGCTATGCAGTCACTACCCCCTGTGGGCCTGTGCTCAGGGTCCCCTGGGGAGGCCGTGAGTGGCACAGGGCCAGACAAGATCCTGATCCTAAGACCCCGCCCCCTTTTGCCCTCCCCTCTCTCCCGCCCAGTTGATACCAGCCCTGCTAGAGGGGTTCACAGTGCCTGGGGAGCCTCCTTCAGCTTCTCTTTATTTTCCTGAAGATGAAAATTGTGACATCAGTGCTTGTTGTGGGAGATTTGGAATATAGCACACAGAGAAAAATAAACAAAATCCACATAAGTCGTTGCCTCTGGGCCCACCAAAAGAGCAGTCCTCACCCCGCCCCTCACCTGGGTTGACGCCTAGTCCGGAGCAGCTTGCTCACCTAACTTCAGCCCTCCTTTCCCCGGACTCAGAAGACCCCTCCAGGCCCGCATCTGCATGTTATCACGACATCCCATCACTGGAGTGTCCTGGAACCCACCGGACCTGGAGGGGGAGGCAGCCTGGTGGGGGTGGGTGAGCCTCACTTTTCCTCCCCTCCCAGAGGCTGCTCTCCCTGGCTTGAGGCTTAGGCTTGCCTGAGACAGGGGCCGAGAGCTCAGCGCTGTGCTGGACTCTCCCAGCAGGTGCCCGGCAGCCCCCTCCCCCTGGGCTGCTCCTGGATCGTGGAGGGGGCTCCAGGCATTTCCTGGGCTCCCTGCCTCATGAAAGGCTGGGCCAAAAGGAAGGCAGCAGAAAATAAAGGCCTCTCTTGGTCTGGCCCCGCTGGGATAAGAGCTACGGGGTGTGCGTGTGTGTGTGTGTGTGTGTGTGTGTGTGTGTGCGCGAGCGCTGTGAGTGTGTGACAGAGACAGACCAGGGTCTGCACTAAGAGGGGCTGCAGGTGGGGGAGGGGCATGGTCCTTCCCAGGCCTTCCCTGTGACCTCAGGCAGGTCCCTCCCTTTATCCAGCACAACAGCCTCAGGCCAGCCGGGCAGACAGTTCGCGGGCCTGGAGGGGCCCAGCACAAGCCTCAGGCGGGTGGGCACCCGGTCAGTGAGGTGACAGGCACAGCCCAGGATGGGCTTGGCGTGTTTCCCATCTACTGTGCACGGTGGGTCCCCGAAGAGCACGGCTCCAGACTCTGACTCCCGGGGGCTGATGGCAGGCTCTCCAACGTGTCCCCACGTCGCCCCTCGGGGAAAGAGTGGCGCCGACCCCTGTGTCCCCGCTCGACGCCGGGGCCTTGGGGCTGGCAGGTGTGTTAGGGCTCCAGGTGCGCGGACCCCTCGCAGGGACACGAGCCCGGCGCAGCAGGCCGCGCGGGGGCAGCCGAAGACCCCGTCCCGCTCCCACCAGGCGGGCTGGCAGCGCGGGGTTAAAGCCCCGTCAGCTGGCGCAGGAGCCCCAATGGCGAGCGCTGGCGGCGGGGCTGCGCCGGGGTCCGGCCCGGGCCGGGGGCGCGCTGAGCTGGCGGGATGCCGGGCCCGCCGCGCCGGGCCGAGGGGGCGCCCGCGCCACCGCCGCGCAGCCCCCGCCTGCAGACAAAGGAGCCGGCGGGGGGCGGGAGCGGGGGGATGGGGCGAGGGGGCGGGGCGTCGCGGTGTCACGTTACCGCCCGCAGCGCCCTTTAACTCGCGCCCCGCCCCGCTCTCCGCCCCCTTCCCCCGCTACAGCGCGCCGGCCGCGCGGCCGCCAATCAGCCGGCCGCCCCGGCCCGCCCCGCGGGTGTGCGCGCGGCCAATGGGCGGTGCGCGGGGGCCGGGCGGCCGGCGGGGCGGGGGCAGCGCGGCGCCGGCCAATCGCCGCCGTGTTGTTGAAACTGAAAATACTACATTATGCTAATCGCGGCGGGGCTCGCGCGCGCGGGGGAGGTGGGTCCGGCGTATAAAGGGGGCGCGGGCGGGCTGGGCGTTCCACAGGCCAAGTGCGCTGTGCTCGAGGGGTGCCGGCGGGGCCAGAGGGAGCGAGCAGGCAGGCACCGAGGGGGCGCGGCTGCCGGCCGGACGAGACAGGCGAACCGGACGCGGGAGCAGTCCAGGACCAGACAGCCAGGTAGCCGCCGTGCCCGCTCTCCCGCCGCGTCCCTTTGCAAACGCAGAGTCTGGTTGCGCGGGGTCTCCCCTGCTCCCGGCCTCCGCCCTCCTCCTCTCCTCTCTCTCTCGCTCTCCTCTCCTCTGTCGCCGCCCGGCTTCGCGCAGCCCCCAGCCACGTCCGACGCGTACCTCCGCAGCACATCCACGATGGAGCGCCTCGTCGCGCGTGGGACCTTCCCTATCCTTGCGCGCACCAGCGCCTGCCGCAGCCTCTTCGGGCCCGTGGACCACGAGGAGCTGAGCCGGGAGCTGCAGACCCGCCTGGCCGAGCTGAACGCCGAGGACCAGAACCGCTGGGACTACGACTTCCAGCAGGACGTGCCGCTCCGGGGCCCTGGACGCCTGCAGTGGACCGAGGTGGACAGCGACTCCGTGCCCGCCTTCTACCGCGAGACGGTGCAGGTGGGGCGCTGCCGCCTGCTGCTGGCGCCCCGGCCCGTGCCGGTCGCCGTGGCTGTCAGCCCGCCCCCTGAGTCGCCGGCCGCTGAGTCCCTCGACGGCCTCGAGGAGGCGCCGGAGCAGTCGCCCAGCGACTCGGCCCCGGCGCCCACCCCGCCCCCGGCCCCGACCCCGGCCCCGGCCCCGGCCCCGGCCTCGGCCTCGGCTCCGGCCCCGGCCCCGGCCCCGGCCCCAGATGCGGCGACTCAGGACGGCGCCGAGCAGGGCGCGAACCAGGCGCAGCGCAGCCAGGAGCCTCTTGCCGACCAGCTGCACTCGGGGATCTCGGGACGTCCCGCGGCCGGCACCGCCGCCGCCAGCGCCAACGGCGCCGCGATCAAGAAGCTGTCCGGGCCTCTGATCTCCGGTGAGCCCCGCGCCGCCCCGCCCCGGCCCGGCCCCGCTTTGTCCGGCCGGCCGGTCTCCCCAGCCCTCGGGGCCTCGCTCGGTTCCCGCCTCCTCCCGTGGCATTAAAGGGCCCGCAGCGCTCAGGGCGCGGCTGCGCCCGCGCCCGCCTCCTCGCCCCGCCGTTGTGCTCCGGGGCGGCTCGCGCGCGAGGGAGGGGTGGAGGAGGCCCGGCCGCGACCCCCTCGGAGCGCGGTCTTCGCCCCCGGCCGCGGGAGACCCTCCCCGGGCGCGGCCGGGTGCGGTGAGCGCGGCGCGGAGGGGGTTAAGCGCGGCAGCGGCCCCGGGGGGCTTGGCCGCGGGACAAGGGGAAATGCTTACACAGCACATTGCGCGGCGACGTAAACAAAGCTGACCCGCCGCGGACCTCGGCGCGGGCGGGGACGGCGCCCCCACCCCGGCCGGCCCGCGCCCCGCGCCCTCTCCCGGCCCCTCTCGGGTCTCCCGGCCGGCCCCGCCCTGATCGGCCGCGCGCGCCGTCGCCCGCAGATTTCTTCGCCAAGCGCAAGAGATCTGCGCCCGAGACCAAGTCTTCGAGCGATGTCCCCGCGGGGTGTCCCTCCCCTAGCGCCGCTCCTGGGGTGGGCGCGGCGGAGCAGACCCCGCGCAAGAGGCTGCGATGAGCTAGGTGAGTACGTCGCACCTGGGGCGGAGGGGCCAGCCCGCAGGGCCCCGCCGTCCTTGCTCACCGAGCCCTCTCCCCGCAGTTTAGAGCCCAAAGAGCCCCGAGGGAACCTGCCGGGGCAGCGGACGTTGGAAGAGCGCTGGGCCTCGGCTGGGACCGTTCATGTAGCAGCAACCGGCGGCGGCTGCCGCAGAGCAGCGTTCGGTTTTGTGTTTAAAGTTTGAAAACTGTGCAATGTATTAATAACGTCTTTTTATATCTAAATGTATTCTGCACGAGGAGTACACTGGTCCCAAGGTGTAAAGCTTTAAGAGTCATTTATATAAAATGTTTAATCTCTGCTGAAACTCAGTGCAAAAAAAAAAGAAAAAAAGAAAAAAAAAAGGAAAAAATAAAAAAACCATGTATATTTGTACAAAAAGTTTTTAAAGTTATACTAACTTATATTTTCTATTTATGTCCAGGCGTGGACCGCTCTGCCACGCGATAGCTCGGTTATTGGTTATGCCAAAGGCGCTATATTTCACCCGCGTCCCGTTATTGACAAATGTAAATTTATTTTTATAGCGGACTCTGGGGGAAGGGGTCGCTCACAAGCTGTAGCTGCCATACATGCCCATCTAGCTTGCAGTCTCTTCGCGCTTTCGCTCTTTTATTATTATTGTGTTTATTTTAAACTTGAAGACAAATCTGTTAAAATGGTTCCTGAGCCGTCTGTACCACTGCCCCGGCCCCTCGTCCGCCGGGTTCTAAATAAAGAGGCCGAAAAATGCTGCACCCCGCCCCCCCGTCTGTTTGTGCTTGTACATGCCCCAGGCTCCCTTCTGCTGTACCCCCAAAGCTGGGTTGCTAGAACACAGGGCAGAACGGGCAAAAGCAGCAGCTTGGCAGGGGCAGCCCCAGTCTGCTTTCTATGACATCGGTCCAAGAGGGAGGGGGCTTCTGGCCGGCGGGCCAAGCCCACCTGCTCCAGGTCCCTCATCTAGTGAGGGGCACCCCGCCCCACCTGCATATGTCACCCCCATGTGCTGGGCTTCGTGTAGCCCCTGACCTGTCCTTGTCAAAGAAACCACCCACATCCTGGTCACCTGTGGCATGTAGGGTTGCGGGATGCGCATGGGGGGAATACGGGGAGAGGGTGGGGAGCGGGGCTCCAGGCGGTGCCTGCAGGGGCTTGACCAACGCAGCCCCGCCCCTGCCGACTCCTTCAGGCCCTGCACAAGGTGCGGCCCCAACTGCTCCGGGTGCCCAGCTTCAAGGGCCACCAGAGCGCCCTGTTCAAGGCCCAGTTGCACCCGCAGGGGGGGAGGGGCAACCTCAAGGCCCATGGCAGGGGGAGGGGGAGGGGCCCTGGGACCAGGAGGGGGTGGGGAGCGGTGGGCTCTGACACGAGGCTCGGTGGAGGAACTGGAGGCTGCACACACCCCTGCACACTCGCCTTGTCGCCACACCAGTCCCCTGGTCTCAAAGTGCTCCCTTTTAGTCGAAAAGGAGAGGTTTATTTTTTTTATAGCTGACCTATAAACCTCTGAAAATTATGGCTTACAATGGAAAGGGTGATGTAAAATAGCAAAAACAGAACGGCTAGCAGTATTTTTGCTGGTGCCTTGGGCCAGGAGAAGAGAAGAACTCGTGGACCCTCTTGGGGCCGTATGTAACCGTCACTCACTTCCTCCACCCGGCGGGGACAAAGTGGGGCTCAAGGCGAGATTTTCAAGATGTGTTTAGACATATGATTAACTAACCTTCTCAAACTGCCTGAAAGGAGGGGCAGAGGAGAGAGCCAGGCCTGGCCTCAAGGCCCTGCTGCCACCAGCGGCCCTCGCCTGATGGTAACCGAAGAATTAGACCTTCACCGGCCTGACGTCAGACTTCAAACCTCTCCTCTCCGGGAGAAACTCCGCGGCACGCGCCTCTGTGACCAGGACAAAGTCCTTTCCTCTCTGAGATGGAGGAGGGTGGGTACCTTCTGCCATGGGCAGGGGAGGTGTGAGCCAGGACGCGGCTGGGCTGGGTGCCTGGCGGGCAGTCGGTGGGCACGAGACGTGACCGAGTCTGACTGGCGTGGGGCCTCGCCCCCCACCAAACACACCTGCTGCAAAAGCCCCTCCTGCAGGCTTGGGGGCCAAGCGTCTGCACTCGGCTTTGTTTCTCACAGCTCTGGTCTCTGGGCACAGGGACCTGGGGGTACCCCCGCCTGGGGAGCCCTGATAATAACACCCACAGCGACAGCCGCAGCAACCACGCGTGGGGTGTGTGGCTTTTCTCCGTGCCAGGCGTGTGCTGAGCAGGATTGTCTTTGGTGAGATCCTACCAGCAAGGTGCCACCATGTTCCCCATTTGTCTGAGGAGGACACAGTGCAACCCACCTGAGGTTGCGCCACTGACCTCGGCCGGGCCAGGGGTTTTGGCTGGTGAGCTCTGGGGCCTGACGTGGAAACCACTGCGCAATCCCATCCCGTGGACCAGGCTGGGAAGACAAATGGTCACTCTGTTGCGCTCCAGACCAACAAAGCAGTGACGGGCAGGGGGCTGCTGGGGAGGGGTTGCCCCGGCAGTTGGGGGAGGGGGTTCGGGGAAGCCACGGAGCAGCCAGGCAGGATCCTGGGGCAGAAGGGTGAGTACAACGGAGTCAGAGGTCAAGGTGAGGCAAAGGAGATGAGGCCACTGAGTAGGAGGCTGCTGGGGTCTGCCCTGGTGCCAGGGGCCTCGGCCGGCCTGGCCTGCATGTCAGGCCAGCACACACGCTTGCACATTATTCCATGGCAGAGTGCTGTTTGGGGTGTGCCTGCCTGGCCTCCCCCTTCCCTGGCCTGTCCTACTGGGCTTGATGGGCTGGGGTCAAAGGTTGCCTTTTGTCTGCAGGCAGCGGGGCGCCCTGAGGGACTGAGCAGGGGATGACAGGAGCCTCTGGAGGCTGCTGGACAGAGCGAGGAAGGGCCGAGGGTCCAGGAGGATGCGTTGGTCCGGCAGAGGCGCTGGGTTTGGCACCTATTCCAACAGCCTCTAGCATGCCAGACCGTGTTCAGGCACCAGAGACTCTGCGATGAATAGACACCTGATTCCCTGTTCCAGGGGCTTTCTCTGTCTGGGAGGTGACATAATTATACCTAGTGAGTGAGCTATAGCACACACACAGGTGGTGTTAGGGGTAAACAGAGCTGAGCAGCGGGCTTCTGTTGAAAGTAGGGCACGCCAGGAAGCCCCTCCTCCAGCTTGTAGCAGTGACATGCGGACAGACTGGGTCTGGCAGAGAGAACAGCCAGTGCAAAGGCCCTGAGGCCGGGGCATCCACTGGCTAGTAAGCCAGAGGGGCTGGAGGCGGGGTTGGGGGAGCTGTGAGATATATTTAGTGGGAGGACTGGGGCCTGAGGATGGATTGAGGGGTGTATGAACAGCAGGTACCAGGAGGCCTCTGAGGGCCGGTGTGAGGGGGCCATTCTCAGAGCCTAGGAAGTCTGCCCAGAGAAGGAGAGCAGAGGGTCGAAGCACTTCTTCTGGATGGACACTGCAATTCAGGCCACCCCTGCCCTCCAGACGTGCTTTAGTTCTCTCAACAGCCCCGCCAACCAGGCGTCAGTGCCTGTGTGGCAGAGGCCAGAGAGGCAAAGCCACTTGCCTGGAGTTGGTCCCTGGTAAGACACCGGCCCAGGCCTAGCCCAGCGCCCAGCCGCTCAGCCCCAACTGGTGTCCCCGTGGTGTCTTACGAGCACCGTTTTGATTCTTATGTTTTGATTCAGTGTTATTAACTGAAGTCCCTGTTTATGTTAGGGTTCACTCTTGGTCTTGTCCATTCTGTGGGTTCGGACAAATACTGACCCGTGTCCACCATCGCGGAATCGTACAGAAGTGTTTCACGGCCCTAAACCCTCTGTGCTCTACTTACTCGCTCCTCCCTGCCCCCAGCCCCTGGCAAGCCCCGGTCCTGTCACCGTCACCATAGCTTTGCCTTCTCTAGAACGTCGCAGAGTTGCACTTATATCGCATGCAGCCCTTTCAGATGGGCTTCTTCCGCGTAGCAACGTGGATTTAATGTTCCCCCACGTCCTGTCCCGGCTTGGTAGCACATTCTGTTTAGCACTGAGTAACATCCCACTGTCTGACGCGCCCCAGTTTATTCATCCACCTGCTGACGGCCGTCTTGGTCGCTTCCGCGTTCGGGCAGTTATAAATAGAACTGCTATGAACATCCACGGGCAGGTTTTTGTGTGGATGCAAGTTCTTAACTCGTTTGGGCAAAGGAGCGCGATTGCTGGATCATACGTTAAGATCATACGTTTTTAGTTTTGTGAGAAAAAACCAAACTGTCTTCCAAAGTGGCCGCACCATTTCGCGTTCCCCCAGCAGTGGTGAGAGTCTGGCTGAAGAGCGCTGTTTTCCAAATGCCTCTCATCCGTAGATCACACCAACCACCCAGTTCAGGTGAATTGAAAACCGAAAACCTCTTCACAATTTGGACATGACAAGGACAAAGCGTAATTAAAAACGAACACTACCACCGTGGCGCGGGAGGAAGAGCGGGGGCTACTGGTGGGTTTCTCGTCCAGCCGGCCTGTGGCACGTTGCTTCAGTGTCCAGATGTTTGCTCGCTGCCTTGCAGGAGGATTCTGCATCTCTGGTGGGTTGATATCGGACTTGGCCACACGGCTTGCTCTGGCCAGTGAAATGTGACTGGGGTGACATGTGCCATTGCTCAGCAGAACCTGTCAAAGCCAGCGGTCCTCCCATTTTATCCCTCTGAGGGATCACCAGTGAGATCGCAGAGAGGGGCTGCTTTTTCCATGCCGACGAGGTGGAGCATAGGCACAGCCCGCCAGCAGTGGGACCGTCACGGCGAGTGAGAGATACTCCACGCTTGGCGTAAGGCCTCTGAGAGTCTGGGGCTTGTTTGTTACACAGCATCATGTAAACTGAGCTGACAGATGCAGTTTCTTTGAAAATCCCAACTCACCGTTAGCAGTTTTTAGGACTGATAATAGGGCCTCGTGGCATTTCAACTTGTTCTGGGTACTTGGACGTGCGTCCAGAAATTATGCAGAGACTCCTCCCTGAGAGCTGCTGAATCAAGCCGATCACATTTAAAGGCTGGAGGCCAGGGGTTCCCCTGGGCAGTGTGTGGGTGCTGGACCCTCCCTTTGGTCACCACCTGTTCTGCTGTGGTGTGGTATGGTACGTGCTTTAACAACCATCCAGTGATGCGTCTCTTTTTTTTCTTTGATGGGGGAAGAGAATCATTCTGATTTGGGAAAGGATCAAAGTCTCAGAGATACAGCTATTCACCCCACCGTTTGACATACTTAGGAAATCCCAATTCCTTATTCTGAAAATTAAAACTCGTATTATTTAGGCCCCACAGGGGGTGT